CACTATGGTGCCTGTCCCCTTCCTAATTCGACATGTGCCCCAGACACAGGATGCCCCAGCCACTTGTGGCACCCATGCTGCTGACTAGCCACCCCTGCCCTGAAGTGCAAGTATTCAGATGGTTAATTTACTTCAAATCTCACTGGATGCAACTGTGGGCATTCTCATTACTCATATGAAGGTTTAGCCCCTACTACACTCTTAGCTAGGATCTTTTCAGGAAATGAGATCCAGGAGTTATGTATGCATTCTGTTAAAAACAAAAATCTTTTCACTACATTGTAAAAAATTACTGCCCTCTAATTTTATTTTCCTTTTCTGGTGTATTGTTAGCCTCCTCTTTTAAGAGTCCTTACACTTTTCAGTCACTCCTCAAATGTCCCTCCTTTCCATGCCTCTAATCATCCACCCTCCTTTTCATTGGCCTAACACTTCTGTTATATTCTTTGATATAAGGTAACCAAAGTAGAACATGTTTAAGATAAGACAGTTCCATTAACTTTACTTCAGTGGCTTCATTATATTTTAGCATCATCTTCTGATTCTTCTTACATTTGAAGTTTGTCTATTTGATCACCGCTACCCTAAGCAGATTCTTCTAATGAGCTATCCACAAATAGGTGGCTAGAATTAGTTTAGACCTTGGTACATAAGTAGTTCATTGCTTTTCATTTCTCAGTGAATTGCAAAAGCAACTGTACAGCTGAGTAATGGTTTGTTTGTTTGGGGTTTGTTTTTTGGGGGGGGTAGTATCTCTGAAGTTGGTTTGGTTTTTTTGGTCTTGACTAAGCAAAATAATTGCATCATCTGCAAATTCTGCAACCTCATTGTTCTCCTACTTCTCCATAACACTGAGACAGCAAGAACTACAGGTCCAACTCTAGAAACTGTCCATTTTCAGTGTGTCAAAATTTACTGTTTGATGCTTTTCTGCGGTTTAGAAATAAATTCTCTTTCATAAACCCAGCAATGGGTTTACTTAAAATTAGCTTGTATAGGATCTATGTCCTTTTATTTAAAGCTTTTTTATTTAAAAGTTATCAATTCACTCTCCTTTACCCACAGCTTGGTTGATGAGGTCAAGTTCCAGAAGATGGGGAGAGAAGATTTTTCTTTGATGATAGTAAGGTTTTCACATCATGCTCATCACACCATGGAATTTGCAACCCAGCAAGGTAAAGAACCTAATGTGGCTTTAAGCAATGTTCTCACCCTCCCAGTTCTGTTTCCAGAGTGTCTGGCATAACTGAGTTCAGTGAGCCTGTTTGAGCTATGGCAGCCTGTAGATAAGCAGTTCCCAACTGCAGTGCCACAAGACCCTTTCAAGGGGACTGCAAGCCAGGTAGAACTGTCCCATATGCCTCATGTGGAGCTGGATCAGGAAGCAGCTGAAGCAGAAGCAGGGCCATTAGCTTTATCAGATAAACCTAATGCAGGTAGGAACGCCCACCCTGCCACAGTCACTTCCTGCTCCTTGAAATAAAGTTTATCTCCAGGCTGCACCTGCATCTCCAAACTGCTGTACCACCACCACTGACAGCAGGTCAAACTACCTCAGAAGGTCAAGATGCACTGCTCTGGGCTATCCTTCAGGTAAGGCGGCTTCCTGAAATATCTGCAATGCTGATTAAAGCAGCCCCCACTGTTGATCTTACTCTTAACTACCTTTTCAAAATCTGATCTTTTAAGATAGGCTTTGGAAGACAGCCCTATGCCTCCCTTACACAGAACTTTCTCCAAAGCATTCCTCCCCTGCCTAGAGAGGAGGAATTTGTGGCTACTTTATGTAGCTCTGGCCCCTTTACATGAAGCAAAGGAAAAAGAGTAGAAGCAAGGATCCTGCCCTCTGTTTAAATGACTGCTTCCAACTATTCAACGCTAATTGAAGCTCTTTGGTTTAATTTCTAGCATCACATCCATCTTTTTTTAATGGAACATGTAATTTATTACCCTTGAGGCCTTTGCTGTGGTTTCCGATTTTAAGATCTCACTTTTTAGAAGAATCAGCCACTTCATTCAAAATTCGTGTAAGAACTTTGATAACCTAAATAACAAGTTAGAACCTCAATCTGTTTCAGAATCTCCCTCTTGACATTCTTACTGTACAACAGATACGAGTTATTACCTGAAATATGGGGTGCAGTTTGATGCTTAGAAACAAACCAACAAACCGCTTTTCATTGGTATAGTTCTGGAAGAAACTCATCATAAGGTACCTCACACCAAATCCCCTACCATAAACTTCTTTTGCTTCAGCAATGATACAGCAAAAACCAGAAAGGAATTAGCACATAATGACGACAGAATTACTACCTCAATCATATATATATGTACATATGTACGTATGTACGTATGAACGCTTGATTGTGTTTGTATGCTTTCATGGCAACTATAAAGGCATCTTAATCTAGCACAACCATGACAGTACACAAGAGCCTTAGTTTAAAATAATTCACTTCTATTTATTTTACTTATGGCTTCGTATTGTCTTTGGTTGACAAATAGTGTATTAATAACTATTACTAGTAGTAATAGTAGGGTTAATATTAACATATGGACAATACAATTATTTATTGATTTAATCAGTTATCAATAGTAGTAGTAGCAAGATTTTACACCAGACTCAAAAATGTTTATTTGCTGAGGAAACAAATATCCTATCATTACCAAAAACGTTATTTTACAGAATACGTGGTCTGCCCACCTATGGAATTCTTTTAGACCCTCTCATCTTAAAGAGGTTAAAACCCTGCACCCTCAACAAGTTTGTGGATCACACCAAGCTGGGGGCGGCGGGGGGAGAATTAGTAGATATGCTGGAAGGTAGTTAGAGCTAGGATTCAGAGAGACCTAGACAAATTGGAGGATTGGACCAAAAGAAATTCATGAAGTTCAATAAGGAGAAGTGCCAAGTCCTGCACTTAAGACGAAACAATCCCATGCACACCCGCGATACAGGCTGGGGACTAACTGGCTAAGCAGCAGCTCTGCAGAAAAGGATGTGGGGGTTACAGTGGACAATAAGCTGAATACGAGACAGCAGTGTGGTCTTGTTGCAAAGAAAGCTAACACCATACTGGGATGCCTTCGTAGGAGTGTTGCCAGCAGATTGAGGGAAGTGATTATTCTCTTCTATTCTGCACTGGTGAGGCCATAGCTGGAGTACCATGTCCAGTTTTGGACCCCCCCAGTACAGACAGGATGTGGACAAATTGAAGAGTCCAGCAGAGGGTAATGAAAATGGTTAGGGGACTAGAGCACATGACTTCTGAGGAGAGGCTGAGGGAACTGGGCTTATTTAGTCTAAAGAAGAGAAGACTGTGGGGGATTTAATAACACCCTTCAACTACCTGAAGGGTGGTTATAAAGAGGATGGACTGTTCATATAAGAGAACAATGTTCTCAAGTTGCAGCAGGGGAAGCTTAGGTTAGATATTAGGACAAACTCACTCACAAGAAGCTTAGTAAAACACTGGACCAGGTTACCCAGAGAGGCTGGGGAATCTCCATCATTAGAGGTTTTTAAGATATGGGTAGACAAAGCCTTGGCTGGGATAATCCAATTGGGGATGGTCCTGCTTGGAGCAGGGGGTTGGACTAAATGACCTCCTGAGGTCCCCTCCAACCCTCATTTTCTATGATTCTATGAAAAAAAAATGGGTAACAATAGAGTTCAGAACACGGAAAAGTTAACAAAAACTGTATTAACAGACCCCTTACTTTAGACAGGACCCCTATAAGAGATAACAATGAACGAGTGACATGAGAAGTACAGAGAAAACTTCTGCTCACTCCTTCAAATAATGCTAGGGGACAGTCAGGGAAAAAAAAAAAAAAAAGGTGACAACATTTAAAACTGATCAAAGTAAACAATTTTTTTTTTACCCTCAAAAAAGGGATCTTGGAGTCATTATTGACTCCAAGATGAACATGAGCTGCCAATGCCAAACCACAGCCAGCAAGGCCAGCCATACCTTGTCATGTATCCAAAGATGCATCTCAAGCTGGTCCAGAGAGGTGATATTCCCCCTCTATGCGACTTTGGTCAGGCTGCAGTTGGAGTACTGTGTCCAGTACTGGGCGCCGCACATTAAAAAGGATGTGGCCAGCCTGGAGAGGGTTCAGAGGAGGGCCACCCGTTTGGTGAGAGGGCAGCAGGACAGGCCCTAGGAGGAGAGACTGAGGAACTTAAACCTATTCAGCCTCAGCAAGAGGAGGCTGATGGGGGGACCTGGTAGCTGCCTACTAACTCATCAGGGGAGGTGATCAGCAAATAGGAAGAGCCCTACTCTCCCCAGCACCACCTGGGGTGACGAGAAACAATGGTAATAAGCTGATGGAGAATAGGTTTAGGTTAGAGATCAGAAGGCAATATTTTACAGTTAGGGTGGCCAGAATCTGGAAGCAACTTCCTAGGGAAGTGGTCCTCACCCCTACCTTGGCAA